GCCCGTAACTCATGTGATTTGTAAGGAGACTAATATCCTAACTCCAAACTCCCCAGATATCAATGTGGGACTTGACTAGCCTATGCAACTTAACTGCTACTAAGGAGTAAAGATCCCCCACTAAAGCCGATATGACTAGTCTGTCTTTTTTACCAAAGTCTAAAGACTTTTACGATCGTTTACTAATCTTAATCCATAGAAATCACAAAAATTGGTAACCTATGTGGTTCCTGAGAAGACGAATAAGCATAAAGGACTACTAGCCCAAAAAATATGTATATACAATTTGCTCTTGTAAATTCCAAGGAACTTGACAATAAATAATTCCAATGTATGTTGGTTGACTTGGGGCCGCCCGGGCAAACGGCTCGTAGATTCCCAGAAAAGGTTTGTAAGCTTCTCGCCATTGTTTGCGCTAAATTCAGGGATAAATTTGTGCTTTCGTCATTCTTTGTAGATCTACTGAATCAGCTCCTCACCTCACTCACAAGTCACAACACCATCCTAAGAATCGTTTGCCTATGTTAAAAGATTATTTTTCTCGATTTTATTTTTAAAAGTTACTTTTTACAGATACTTTTATTTATTTAAGAAAACTTGAGAGCGAAAATCGAAATCTAAAAGCTGATATGTTTGAGATATGAAATTTGAATCTATTAAATTACTAAATTATTAATCACTAAATTTGATGTATTTGAGCGCGTATCATCACATCAAATGATTAAGTGTGTACCAAATGTTTTTTAACATACTAAGATCTGAACACATTACCAAATGCGTCTAAACGCATTAGTATTTGAGTTTAATAAATTTGAGCACTGAATTGAGTTGCTAAACACGACCTTAGTTAATGTCTCTCCTCTTTAAATTGGGTCATTGAGGGAAGTGCTTCATAGGCCGTTGTCAAATAGTAAACCATTTGGTTGGGCTTAACGTTCATTGATAGAGAAGTTCAGCAACTAAAGAAACCTCATATCCGAATGTGGTAGTCAACAGGTTAAGTCGCCCGCGAGTCAAGAAGTTTTAGGCCTTTTGGGCCCAATAAGCAAACTAGTTGCCTCTTCGACGATGCTTTTATTTTTTTCCCAAACATCAACTTTCAGTTTTCCTGACATCTTACGCAGCACCCAAAATTCCAATTGCTTGCTCGTTTTAAGGCTTCAGTCTCATGTACATGAAGAACCATTTTTTCAGGTATCAGGAATTACAAAAAGTTTTTGCTGAAACTCTTGTGGTTGTGGGAACACACTACAAGCTAATGCAGAGAATTTCATCATGAAAATCAATTTCTTCATCTTTCACTTCATCAAATATTTGTAGCATGGCCTATTAATCTAGTTCTGTTGAAATAAGGGTGGATAACTAAAAGCTAGCTAATTATTCCAAACCATCATATGCTTCTCATAATGCTACAAGCGATTTTCCCTGAACCTCAAAAGCATCCAAATAAAACAGAAGGAGAGAAACAGAAAAGTTTTCCTGCTAATAAACTAAGCTTATGAACAATCAGAAGTGTTAATCACACCTCAATTTAATACCGTGTGTTAACCACACCTCATTGTTGATTACATGTTACTCCTCCCAGAAGTCAAGAAAATGAACTAGATGTAGCAGTATTTTCCCCTTGAACATGATGTCCAGGTTCCAGCAAAGAAGGCAACACTAGGGGAGAAAGAAGAGGGATGGGATCTTTACTGTGATAACAAGAAGCAAATGAAGATGAAGGAAATGCTGAAGAATTTGCAGTATATGCAGTGGATTTTGCTGCACCACTGCATCGCATGGAGCTAGCAACAGTAGCTGCAGGTTTTAGCTGAAGAGGACGCGGTGCTCGCCTTTGCAGTCGACTCAAAGGCCTTTTGATCTTCAAATACTCGTCTTTTTCTTTAGGAACCAAGATTTGGAATCCAGGAAACTCATTATCATCAGAGCCCTCCATTTCTGCTTTTGCTTCTCTAGTTGAATAATGCCTCGACAAGCACTACTTTATATGCCATTTCTAACTGACTTTGCCACCGTTTTGGTGCTTAATTTTTTTGGCTGTTTAACTTAGAATTCAGAACCATCTATAGATTTCCTTATGGTATTGTATAACTCTCAATCATCTGCTCATGCACTCTGTATCCAGTGATACAAATTAATCAGATAAGAACATGGTCCAGCCTGTATGGCCCCATGAGTTTGTGTTGAAGCCATGAGTTTGTGTTGAAGCATATAGCAACTTGAAATCCCTGCGAATGCGAATGATCCCTTGTGTTTGGTATCTTTCATCTAAATTTGCACCATCATTTCTTTATTTGCTAACCAAAAAAAAAAAAAAAAGAACAGCTCTTGATCTTCAATTCATGTGAGGGGAGACTGGACACTGCTCTGTTGCCATTTAAAAGGCTAGCATATCTTGCATGTCATGTGAGCAAGGAATTAGTATATACTGCATTCTGCATAATTATGTATTTATCTTAGTATATTAAAGTGACAGAAAACCAGAACTTGCACATGACCATGCTCAATTACGATTTCTGTGCAATGTTTTGCCAAATTTTAGTAACCTTTTGCATTAAAAAAGAAAAAATAGTAGTAGTATTTGCATTAGCATCGGAGGTGACGGTCAGCATAGAGAAAGAGAACGTAAATCCTATCTGCCCTGGATAAACCCTTGAGACAAAAATTCGGGTGTCTAGCTATGTTCATTAGACAGAACGTAAAAATCCCACCAAATTAATGTATGATAAGAAAACTGAAGCTATGTACCTATGAAAATGCTTATTAGCAAACACAAAATGCAAGCATTCTATCTCTATCACGGTTAACAATTCATGGCATCTGCTAAAAATGATTTTTTAATGAATGACTGTGATCTACTAGCTTGTTCCATCTATGAGTTTGAGCCTCTGCAGAAACTGCAATGGCAAGGAGAATCTCCATTTTAATATGCAAAAAATTTGACCATTGATTAGTCTAAGCAGATAATTGTGGTCTGTCTGTGATGCATCTGCTGCTTGTTAGCCTATATTACTAATTTATCTATTTGTATCATCCTCGTTTTTTTACCCAATGCGTTTCCATCATATTAAAAATCTCAAAACTCAAACATGGCATACCATAACTTCTTCGACTTCTCAAAGGCATCATACCATTCTTTAACAGATACGATATTTGCTTTCATCCCTCTCAAGTCTCACCTACCTTTCTCATCACTATGCTTATTTTTCAACTGCGTGCATGGTGCTAATATTGCTTTGGAAATGTACCCAGAAGTCCCGAACTAGGAAAATACTCAGAGTTAGGAACAATGGGTGTTTTCCCATTGTCATTTATCTATCTGCCACTAAGTCTGAGGTGGCAGCACATGTACAACTAGGCAAGTGGCAGCACCCCACTTCATCATCACCATTTAGCACCAACCAATAATGATAATATACCAATCACATAGGCGTTGAATAGGATACAAATTTTAGCCCAGACACATTAAAAGAAACAACAGGAAATTAAATTAGATGCGGATAGGGAGTGGAGGTGGAGGAGGGCCCTATGTGACTCAAAATATACTGAAAAGAGGACCCTTTCAGGCAAAGCAACAACCCCTTTCTTATATTTTGTTTGTTTGAACTTTGAATTGCATGCAAATCTCCTCTCTTTTCCTCTTCTCTTCCTGTTCTCTTCTCCAAAGTTGCACTTCACTTTACTGTTTGGTCAAAGGAAATGGATTAGCTTTGCTTTTCCTATTCTGTGCGGCCCCTTTCCGTACCAAAGATACGGACCATCCTGTTAAGGAACAACGTAGGCAAAAAATGTGTAAAAGTAATGAAAATGGACATATATCAAGAGAAGAAATGGCCAGAGGGATTTAGACTCTTTAACATGGAAATGGGGCAGGAACCGTTCCTGAAGGTTCACAAATTTGTGCGGGTCAGATTACAGCATGTAACTCGATTATCACGTCATGTGTGGGGCCCACAAAAAAGTGTTGTAAAATTACGTCGTGTGCAAAGTAAGTTACATCTTGTGCAATGGAAGTTACACGCAGTGGAAAATGAATACAACCGGCAACCGTTTGTGCCCCTTGTCCCTTTAACATATATTTGTCAGATGTGTTGAGCTTGAAAAATGCCTTGGTTATCACTTCCCACTTGGATCGCTAATTTTTAGAATATTTGTAGAAAAATGTACGTATGTTCTTGGAAAACGTAAAAAATTTTCTTCAGAAAACTACAACCCAAAAATTTTCCAGAGTCAGCTGTCAAAGTTACTGCACAAACTTTGTCAACAAAAGGTTAACTCCTATTGGTCAAGTTCCTTGTGCCATCATGTATAGCATGTACTATTAGTTGGATCGTACACGACATTTTGATATTAACTGATCTTGTCTTTGCATCCATTACGTCAAGAAACTTGGTAAAAGATTTCTCAAGACATGGAAGCATACAACAGGCCAGGAGATAGTCAATTAAGGGAACCTCTAAGAAACATCATGGATTTTTTGTATTCCAACAAATGAAGAAGCTACTCATCTCCTTCACGGCACCGCATTATGTGAGAAAATCAACTCACAAAGTATAGTAGAATGACGTTCAGACCGGCAAAACTATTTCTAATCAGACGTCCCTATCTGACAAATCTTCAAATGAATGAAGGTCTTAGGAAGTCAACTATAACCTTCCCGTCATACAAAATTATGTAGGCCGCCGACCCACGGCTGACAATAACAGGGTGTCGGCTAGTCAAAGTTCATCTCTCCATCCAACACAAGCTGAAAAGAATGTGCTAGTTTATAGCAGCTTTCAAACGTATGCGAGTTCTGTAATTGCCCATTTCCATTGGTGTACCATTCAATTTCAAATTCTTCAATAACAGTTGAAGAATCATGTCAAAGATAAGTTTCTACTCTTGCTTTCTCAAGCTAGTAAGTATTACTAAACAGGGAGATGAGAACAGAAAATTGATACAATTGACTAATACTGCCATAAACTTTAGAATAGCTAAAGATATGCCCTGCACCATTGCTCATTCTTGACTCAATCTTTGTTGCCAATTGCATGATTAAAATTCCATCACAACATTCATCAATCCAACGTTATATTGGATGCATGAATAAATACATAGGTAAGGGAAGTAACTGGACAATATTTACAGGCACTAAAGACTAACCTCAATCTCTAACTTTCTTTTTCAACCTCAAGAACAAGCTGTATGTGGTGCTGACTTTGGATGAAAACCTAACGTAGATATCTAAGTTGAGGAATATACATCAGAAGCGCTAAGGACTAACGCGTTCAAGAGTAGGATCTAACCAAGCCGAAGTTGACAAAGGATCTGGACTTGAAGAGACCACCAAAGAGGAACCTTGTCGGAGATTCTTGTGGAGTTTGATTTAACTCTTCTGGGCAACCTTTTACTCTGAGTATTGTCTGTCCTATTGTTTGCCGAATAGAGTCTATAATCTTTCCATCAATGGGATATCCAGAAGCATCACTAACATAGAATGTATTAGAAGCTTTGCCTGCTCTAGTTGACACTTCTGCTCTGGTGACAGTAAGGCTATTTTCACGGAAGATACGAGTGACATCAGACAAAAGCCCAACTCTGTCTGTAGTGCATAATTCCAGTTTCAATCCCTGGATGAAGAACCAACAAATCAGCAGTCAAAGTCATGTATGAGCCTTAAGAACAGATAGAAAACAGGACAAAAACAATGAAATAGGATTCTATCCACATTGGTCATGAATTATACATGCAAGCAACAGCTATTTAAAATAACATGTCCAAAGCCAGAGGGCAACTAGATCAAATGAAGCAAGCATTTGGCATGAAACAAAATCGGGTGCATATAGGAATATCACATAAAATAAACATTGAAACAAAATTAAACTCTAGCCTGAAATTATATGAAAATTGTACTCAATTTGGCATTGTTAATTTTGAGACTACCACATAGCAGCATCAATTTATAAGTGCCATCGCGGCAGAGTCTAAAAATGGCCAAGTACAACTTGGGAGAATACGCGAAAAATAAAAAAGTCAGAATTGAATCATTCCATTAAACACTTCCAAGTTATCTTTATCATGGCTCTTATTTCTTGTGTTTTTTCGCCAATTACCTCACATACAAATACTTCTGGTTTAACAGCACAATGTTCACCAATCCATTTCACACACATGCACTGCTACTAACTAGTTTCCGCCAAGTGGAAAATGCATAAAATCAAGATTGAGTTCAAGCGCAACAACTAGCTGATGTCAAATTGAGACAAACTTCATTAATGGTTATTAACACGGTTGTTAAAATTTTTTACCTCAGACACTCTTCTTTCAATAGCTGCTTCAAGACATTGGATTACTCTTTGCCTCTCCGCGTCTGATTTCACAGGGGATCCATCTACATGTCTTACACAATACTCCTTCATATGCAAAAGTGGACTTTAAATTAGTACAAACAACCAAAAAAGAAAAAGAAAAAGATAGGCCATTTAACTGCCCAAATTCCAACAGCGTCTGCTGCGTAATCATGAAATTCATATACTACCTGATGAGCTTCTGGTCCTTCAGCATCAACATTTCCATGGAAAACCACATACTGCATGTCAGTCAACGTACAGATTATGTCAAAGAGGAGTTTGGGCCTATCCTTGCACCGGATTGTAACTACTGAGTAGTCTTTATCGCACCAATTAACAACATTGACATTAGGCCTTTCTCTTTCATTTAAGGTCTCATGGCCGGTACGTTCGTAGTCTCGGTCAGCGAACATCATCTGGTGAAGCCTTCTCTCAGTGTGAGTAACGCCATGTGAAACAACAGTCTTAGCCTCCCTGGACTTGTTGCTGCCTTTGAGTACATTACAGAGGAGCTGCTTGATCATAGCCAGCCTCTCAGGGTCGGTAATTGCAGCCCCAGTTTCTTTATCAGTTACTTGCATTACAGCTGCAGCTCTGGTGTTGTGGGTCCAAACCTCAGCATTCACCACATTGCATTTTAGGTGGGTTAGGACAGCACTGACTTCAGAAAGTAGACCTGGTCTGTCACTTCCAATTAATTCAATTGAGGTGTGGTCCATTGCTGATACAACCCCAACAGATCTTCTCATAGACGACGCAAAACAAGAATCTGGACCAAGCGACTGAAGATGAACCAACGGAATGAGTTGGATTTGCCCATAAATGCAACGAAAAAAATACTCGAAGTTGCCACATTCAATACAACTCACCTTCTGAATGTAATCTAGCACCCCTTCATCAGTTATCTTGTTCCCATCTTGATCAGTGACCTTGAAGACTGCAAAAAGAATCAAATATATCTATCTTTTACTCCATCTACTACTGGTAAATTATGTTCACACTCGGAAAAATGAAAGAAAAATGCTTTTACCATCCATAAACCATCCTCCATCAGAGCATATATAAGCCTTGGTAATTATCAGATTAAGGTCAGTTAGCACTTGTACAACTTCCAGCAGTATGCCATGTTTGTTAGCACTGTCCACCTGCATCGAGGGAACCAAGTTAAGGAAACAAAAGAAATACAGACTAATTCCATCTACTCATACCTCAGAGCAGCTCAGAAAGGAAGAAAGGAATACCTGTATAACAGTTGCATTTTTGCAAGATTCGGTATCAATAACAACTCTGTCATGAATATGGAAAAATTGGAGTAAAAATCAAGAATGTTGAGCCTTAAGGGTTAAGTAAAATGGCACAAATTGAATTTGGAAAAGGCAAATAGATACCTGGGTGGATTCATTCTTCTAATAAATTTTTCGTACTCATCATCCATGGTTTGTGAATAGCTCACCGAGGCTTTTGGGGGGGAGGGGAACAGCAAACAACAAACTTTAGGTAAGGCCAAAGTAAAAGCTGAAGCTATATAAGATAAATAGAATCACAAATACCAATCACAAAGAAGATACCAGAACCATGAGTGTGAAGCAAGTATAGGAGGCAAAAAATAAAAATAAAAAGCTGACCAATCATGAAGATCTGAATGGGGACTAGAATAAACCAGATATCAACAAGGCCAACTAAGAAGCCTTAAGGCCCCCTCAAAAAAAAAAAAGGTACTTGTGCTGCTTGTCTGTGTGGGGTGGGGGATGGTGGGGCTCTGTGTTTCATTGGAAATTCATCAGACCATTGAAACACACACAATTGAGTGTATTCAGCACACACAACACAACAAACAGAGGGACATTTACACCCACAAACACACCTGCTCTGTGTGTGAAAGCAAGCGAAGGAGGTATCATTAGAAATCAGAAGTTGGACATACCAAACATTCAATAAAGATTACACAACTAACAGCACTCAACCAATTCTCATGACCAAGAAACTACCAAAAAAGACAACAATATGCCAGCAAACCATTAGCCCAATAACCAAGACTAATAACAAGAACCAAAAAAAACTCGAAACACAACCCATAAACCCAATTAACATGGAAACACTACCTACCCAGGAAGATTCTTGAACCAAAAAAACCACAAATTTGAAGGACTAATAAGCCGCAAGGCGCAAAAATGGCACATACCCATTACAATTCTTGATCTTCTTGTTCGGATGTTATCTTGAATTTTCTCAACTGGGTTGCCAAAAAGACTCTAATTTGCTAACCAAAGAGTCCCCACAACTTTAAGACAACAAAATCTTGACAACCCCCTAACCTCCTTATATAGGACTAAAAAATACTATATATTTCCAAAAAATTATACTACTTATTCTATACTTGTATTGCCAAATAAGCAAATATCCACCTAGTTAAAGCCTGGGTGAATCTGAAATATCATGGAACCAACTTTCAAAAGAAAAAAAGGGAAAAAAAAATCACAGTTCACACATTAAAAAACACACCTTTTTACCCGTGCCTTTTGACAATATCTGCAGTTATACTTTCTTTGTTTGTGTGTAAAGACAAATACAAATATAGTATATGGGTAAAATATGCCTAGATTAGTGCGTGTAGCGTGTGGGAATGGAGGGAAAGTAGCACTGCTGTGCTGGTGTTTTATTTTCTGCACTGGGGTTTCTAATTTCAGTTGCTTTTAAAGATTCAGAGGGACAAGTACTTTCCCCAAAGAAAGAGAAGTGGGGCGCCCTTTAGCAACGACGCTGGCGGTTAAGGTGTCCGAGCGCGTGGGCGTCTTCTAAAATGCGCTGACTGTCCAATTTACTCGAGTCAAAAAAAAAAAAAAAAAAAAAAAGATTCCTCTATGGGACAATTTACTGTGGCACGTGTTCCAGGAGGGAGAAGTAAAAGTCTCCAAGGTGTGTGGAGGGGAAAGAAAACTTAACGGTTTACCGTTTATGATTCTTTTTATTACTATTGGATTTGGGTTAGGGAATGTTCACCAGTTATATATACTAGTGCTGAATGCACATTTAATATCTGTGCAATATAAAAATTTATAATATTTATAAAATATGTTTAAAATATTTCTCATATTTTGTCAAATAAATTTTTTCATTTTTCATTTTTAAAATATTAACTTTACATCCTTTATAAATTAATGTTAGTAAAATCAAATCCTATTTTTTAAGAGAAAAAATGAATATAGTTTATGTCAAATCCTATTTTTTTTAGGAGGAAAAATAAATATGGATCAGGTCATTTATTTAATTACAAATGAAATTCAATCTTTTTACTCATGAAGAAATGTTCATGTATAGGTCACGCGATAGATCAGGATAAGAGTAATCGAAAAAATAGTTTGAAACCAAATTTTACCGTCTTGATTTTGTAAGGAATATAGAGTTACCATTTTAAAATTGAAGGATTCAAAAATTCATTTAGCGAAATGTAAATAACGTTTTGAACTATTTTTCCTAATATTTATATCCTATTTATATTTACCCTAAATGAATTTTGTATTGCTAAACCAAACTTTAGTTTATAAATGTTTGTGATAAAATGGTTGTACTAGTGGTACTTACATTGCTTAGAAGTAGTTATGTTGAAAACATATGTTTTAACGGCTAACGCAAGAAATTGCACATAGATAATTATCTTGACAACGTTATTAAGTTGTTATAGTAAAATTCACTTCATAAGGGTAAAAATAAAAGTTTATAATGTGACATATGTGTATGTGTGTGCTAATGTGTGTATGTGGACCTCTAATTTCTTAGATTTTCAATTTTGACCAATACCTTAGCAGCAGTATTATGAGTTACATAAATGCTTGGCAAGAAAAAAAAAATTTCAAACAACAAGATAATGAATATGAAATATGGTAAAAGTTGATTCATTGGATTAATTAAATATGAACAAGATATTTTTTTTGGGCAATATTAAGTTAATTCACAAGGTTAATCGAACACAAAAACAACAAAGAGATGCATGGAAGCTAACATAATTGGTAATAGATTCTTCAAAAAAAAAAAAATTAAAGGTGATGTAATAATTGTTTAATCGAACATGAGCATAATTAAAAGGGAAATCCATATACAGATTGGGAAATACCGTAAGAAATTAGTAAAGATTTCTCATAGGAAAATGATGAAGCTATATATGGCTTTAACTTGTTAATTTATACAGTATAATATGGTTCAAATAGATCAACTAGAAGGTCAACTTGTTTGATTTCACTGTTTGTTAGACCTCCATCCATAATTTTTGTGAAGTTCGGGGAACTGATCCTTTTCATACATGAAGAAAGAACAAGGAAAATTCAATGCTCTGTTGACGGGGTCTAATATTTTTACAGTATTGAAAGGAATCACTCATCTCTTTAATAGTATAAATTTTCCCAGTTGGGATTAAATTATGTCCTTCATTTTTAAGCTTTTAACATCTAAGAAAAATAAAGAAAAAATAAGGAAAAAAAAAATAGCATCTATTCATGAGGAGAAATTGAACTTTGGACATTTTAATCAATTATTGGATACAAATTACATTTATAAAGTACATTATAAAAATCATTGGAGTCAAAGTGACAGTTGTGCGCTTGAGCAAATCATTTGGGTAAACTTGTGGTAAATGTCATCTTATTCATTGGTCTCACTTTTCAACGAGTAGGTGATTTTCTTTTGTGGGATTGGAGAAAAATATATACGAGTCTGGTAATACGGTCAAAGTATCCTCACATCATGCTCAGTAATTTTACAACCCTGTCATTCATTAATCATCTATGCTGAAGCTGAAGTTGGAGTATTCTCAAACTACCACAGCCTTTTTGGATGATTAAAGTTCAAAAAGTATGAGCAGTTCTTTCATGTTCTCCTCCGATTCATATGCAGAAAATCCATCAAAATTTAGGACCAAGAAGAAAAAAGTGAAAAACCAATCTTTTTGTTCAAAGAAAAACAAATAATTAGTATTGTACTTCTGGGGGTGGTGGGAATGTCCAAGGTAGTGGTTTCCAGACGAGGTATATGTATGTATTATTACTACATCATTTGATTTGACCAAAAAAAAAATCATGATTTGTACAGTATATATTTTTATGGTTTAGTAATCAAATCAAATCTCGAAGGGACAAAGTCGCTAAATTTTGGTTGTGGGGTGGTTTCAACTTTCAAGAAGTCACCGTAAATTTCATTCAACTTGACATACCCTCGTCGCAACTCCAACCCCAACTCATCTAATTAATGCCCAGCCGCCACAAACCAACCCTAGACTGAAATTTATCGATTCCTCTAGATTTATGCTAGCCCTAGATAATGGTAATGTATAATTATAAACTACTACAGTACTACTAGTAGTATTTTCTTGATAGATTTTAGTGCCCCCCTCACATCCACATGACATATTTAACGCGGGGTTAGCCAGGAGGAATACTTGCTCCTCTTTCCCCCCTTGCCTCCTTTTGGTCAAGAATCAAGATTGGGTGTGCTCGCACATACGCATGTCTTGCGGTGCATGTTGCTCTCAAATGATGTGTCTCTCTTGCACATGCACCTTCTGCTGCCTCCATATTTTCAGCTACTTACTTGTTTTAGGTAAATTAAATAATTATTACCGTCATCCTGCAAGACAAAAATCTTATACTACCACTAGTAGTATTTGGTACGGAGTAAATCTTATATACACTAACAGTGTACACACTGTTATAGTTAGATTCATGATATGTGTGTAAAAATTGAATTTCAAATTCAAATTTTACATAGTTATGATTCATCCAATACTGGGTGCAGGAAAAATTAATCCTTTGGTGTGTGTGTGTGTGTGTTGATGTGGGATTGAGTAGGTCGAATTGAAAAGTTTGGTGGTCAAGAAATGAAGAGGGTTTTTATCATTTATGGCTGGTTGCCTATTAAGAATAAAGTTTTGTACTCGAGGGGTAGGTCCATTTTTGCTCTTGGACATATTTGCTGGTGTGGAAGTGGTTCTTTGCTTCATTTGCTGTTTGCTTCTTGATTGAGAAATTGATGTGAAACTTAATTAAGTAAGAGCCTCCGACAATGGATTTGGAAACTGTCAAACTTAACCAGCTAAAATACAAAGAAAACTATCCTATATATCTTGTCAGTTGACTCGTTAATTGCTAATTTGGTATTCATCTCTAGCTAGCAAGGTAACAGCTTCATGTGCAAGGTTGTAATTTATCCAAGATAGTTACAAAGTCCTAGATGTTAGCAATCAATAGGTGCATGTGAATTCATTCATTGTTTTTTTATTTCAGTCATTTGCTGTGTTAGGAGTTGAAGAAACCCTAACGTTAAAACTTCTTTCCTATTTTGGAAACTCGTAGTTAAGTTCCTTTTGCTTAGAGCCCCCAAGTCGTTGGCAAACACTTATTGTAGAAATGTAGATTTATTATGGGTATGGTACTAGAGGTGTGTGGTCAATATTGGGAAGAGGTTAGGGACTTGAGTCGTTAACATTTTTTTTAGTGGCACCTATTCACCTAGCTAATTGGACAGATACATATTGAAGGGTAGATGCTGTTAGGTATCAACTTAATAAATAAACTGTGAGGACGTTGCTTTGGTTTCTTTCGTCCCATAGCTAATTAAGTAATGTGATTAACTGCACACGCGGAGTGCAACTTTTCGGGTGGCAATTCAGTGCCACTTCTATATTTATGCCAAGTGTCTTATTTATTAAATTTGTCATGTGTTGTTTATTTAAATTTCTTCTACCATTACGTGATAAGTGGAATTGACACTGAATTTGATACTGAATAATGGCATAGAGGATCCCAACTGGATTAACTGAGGTTTCATCACATTGGAAAGTTTCGCTTCCTTCTTGGCTAAAGTCTTGAAAAGGAATCAATTGTCGCACATTATTTTAACGCTAGAAAGTTAATTTCAAAGATATCTATCTCTATATATAAATTGGTTCCTAAAGAATCAAATATAGCATTCCTACCTACCTTGGCATCTGATAATGCTGACTTCTAGGAATTCAGTTGAAAATCTACAGAATTCACCTCCTAATTTTGGTCAAACAAATAGTCTTAGACGATTGATTGATTTCTAGTGAGTCTCTTAAAAA